CCCCATTGAATAAAGTGGGATTTACTTTTGAGTAGCACTGGTAAGGACTGTTCCCTGTATTTGTTTGGAGATTCTACATTCACATTGAGATGCAGGCATTCAACTCTAGGCCTGAAGCCTCTTGAAGTAAGCACTGCACAAACCTAAGAAGCACCTGTAGCTATATACCAACTCACAGTGAGTGTGGGATTTTAAAAAAAATGTATGCTCTTTCTTTGGCAGCAGATACCTGTGCAGAGACAAGTTCTCCCAAAGAAAACAAACATAAATTAGGGGGATTAAATTTTTCACAGTATTGTATAATTTTTCCCCGAAACGATTCATTTTGTAGGGAGCCTTTAGTGGCTGGAAGATTATTTTGAATGTTGACCCAGCTAAGGAAGCAGGCTTCAAGCGTCTCTTGGAATCGGGAGGAGCAAAGGTGCGTGTGCGCTGCTGGACTGTTCGAGTTATCAGTATTGTTGGTGCTCACAGATAAGGTGGATTGCTGTGGCTTGTGCAAACTCCACTGTAGGCTACAGGGAGGGATTTCTACCACACCAGGAACACCTCTTTTCACTTGAATCTTTTAATCTCGAGGATTAACCTCAATCAATTAAACCTCTTTGAGAGGCAAATTAGTGTAGTGGTTAGGAGTGTGGACTCTAATCTGGGAGAACCGGTTTTGATTCCCCACTCCTCCACATGCAGCTGCTGGTGTGACCTTGGGTCAGTCATGGCGGTCTCAGAGCTATTCTGTCAAGAGCAGTTCTCAAAAGAGTTCTCTCAGCCCCACCCACCTCACAGGGTGTCTGTTCTGGGGAGGGGAAGGGAAAGGAGATTGTAAACTGCCCTTAGACTCCTTTGGGTGGTGAAGGAAGGGGTGTAAATCCAATCTCCTCCTCTTCGCTTCAGAAATGTTCCCTGTCAGTTTCCACTGATAAGACTTCACAGTACCCATTACTGGTGCAATTCCATTTACAAAAGGGGACTGGGAAGAAAACAGTTAAGCTTTTGCAAATAAGTACTTACGTAAAAAGGAAAGCAAGTTCAGAGAGCTGAAGCCACATTTTAAAAATAAAAGGAAGTATTTTGCTTTAATGGTATAATTCAGACTTTGCTGCTTGCAAAGATGTCCATGGCAAGTAAGCGAACCTTCCACCAGATAAAGTCCCACTCGTTCTTTAAGATTAAATGACAAGATAGCCTGGTTCACAGCCTCCAGAATGATTTTGGAGACTGCAGAGAAATACAGAGCAGTTGTAGTGACACCAGCCTGGTTTTGCTCACTCTTGCCTTCTGGGAGCTTTCAAGGAGGGTGGGAACGATGGCATTGCTGGAAAATGGACAGAAGTGCTGTGGGTGCCAGAGGAACACAGGGATTAGGGACTCTGGCAAACAGAGCCTAGATGGAACAGCAACCATTAGCAGGAGGCCATATTTCTACAACACAAGGCTAAAGCCAGCTGTGATTTCCCTCCCATGCAGTCTCTGGAGGCTGTGCACCAGACTGCCTCTTGCTTCCTTTCCCAAACTTTCATATGAAATGCTGTCTTAAATATAATATTTACTATCTTAATTACATGAAAGGAAGACAACCCTTAATGTAAAACTGCCCCATTAACAATGTTATGTCCCGTTTTTTGGGAGGGGGGTTGGATGGTGTGCCTAGGGAAAAAACCTAGTCTTATAAAACTGCCCCATTAACAATGTTATGTCCAGTTTTTTGGGAGGGGGGGTTGGATGGTGTGCCTGGGGAAAAAACCTAGTCTTGCATTTCAGTAAATAAACTGCTATTGTGTTCAACATATGCTAGCTTACAGATGTGCTTTGATTTCTCTTCTATATTTTAAATCTACAGGTGGTGTCTGGCTATTCTTCTACTCTCTTTAGAGAAGTCACTCACTTTTTTGCTGATTTTAACAAACTGAAGCCAGAAGATATGAGAGTCAATGTTGGTGAGGCTGCAGCTCAAGGAGTGAACTGCCTGAAACCCGAATATATTGCCGACTACCTTATAGAGGTTTGCATTCCAGGAACATAATATGGAACAGTTTCAGACAAAATTTCTAGAACATCGCAGCTATGACCCAAAAGCAGTGGGTTCCAGAAGGGATTTTGCATCCTAGGAACAGGAAGGAGCTGCGTGCATAATAGAAGAGTTTAGGGTTGTCCCCTCGTGTCCAGACTGTGACAGTTAAGTCCCTCTTGGCTCCTTTGCTCAGATTAAAGGAAAAGTTCTTGAAACAGGTGGACATCATGGTTTTTCCAAGGGATAATTTGTCCTCTCCATTGCTGTTCTCTTGTGCTGGAAGTGAGTTTGCATAGTGCAGCTGCGAAGAGAGACTCAAGAGAATAGGTCCTCTCCTTCATCCTTGGAAGCATTGTTGAAGAGACCTTTTCACCGAATGCCTTTTCCTATCGCTAAAACAGTCTCCTGATCAGCCACCATCTGTGGCTTTAGCTAATATGCCAGAAAGAGCAGCATGCTAGTGGAGACTGGGGCAGAAATTGTGGTGATTCTGAGAGAAAGAACTTGGGGATGTGAGAAATGCTCTTGAAAGCCATAATTGCGGGTATCTCACTCTAGTGTGTGCGCGTGCATATGAGTGATGTACACTTAGTGGGGATTTTGGCACGAAGATTAATGGAGGGCTCCTACTGAAAGTCATCTTATTTCTTTATTTCTTTAAAAACCCAAACTTTTTGTGTTTTGAAGGAACCACCACCGCCAATGGATTGCTATTGTTTGCCCGAAGCCACTGCCTATCTTCAGAATGGCAAAAAACGAAAAGCTCCTGAAGAAGCACACAGAGTCAAGAGATCCAGAATGTGCTGAGATTGCTTTTCCTTCCAATCCAATGAAATTTCCATTTCTATTTATACTTGTTTTCTTTCAACATGAAAGGACATTAAATGCTTTTGTAGTATTTTGTGTCAGCTGGGTGTTGTTAAGTAGAGCAAAACTTGAGTCTAAGTTTATAATGGCCCCGTGAACATTTCTTAAGCCGGTGGTATTCAACCTTTCACATCTTATTTCCTACCAGTTGCTGTATCAAAGAAACTGGGTCTCACCATCATAGGAACAAAAATCTCACTATTTCTGAAGGTATTTGTGTTCATGAATATTTTTAAAATATTTATAAATTATAAGTTTTAAGGACATAAAATACACTACAGTACAATGGATGATCCCTGGGACGTGGGTATGGCAGGAAGTGGCACATCAGTGATACCTGCTGGTGGACAGGGGGAAGAAGCACCATGCCAAAAGGTCATAGATGGATAATAGGGGGCAAGAATGGTCAGTAAGAGATGCCATGTCACACCTGGAGGTGGGGATTAAGGGTGAGTGAATTCTTAGTAACTGATGAAAACTCCGCCTTCCTCCCAGACTACTTCTGCATAAGATGTATATTTTTCTTGCCCAGAATGTGGAGCCAGGGCCTGTGCTTCAGTTTTCAGTTGTGAAGATGCTATAACTAATACAATAATAATGCTAAACATCAATGGTGCATGCCAAAATCTCAGGATAGCTAACAATTCAGATTTTCTGTTGCTGTGGAACTCTGCTCCATATTGATGTGAAAACATGCACCCTTTTGCTCAAACATGCACACAGGTATCCTCTGCTCTGTTCAGCTGAGTGCACACAAAGGAATGCTTCTGACTTTGGCTGAAAACCTATATACTATTGTAATGAGACTCTGCCATGAAGATTCATCATCTTACAAGCGCCCTGACATGGTTCAGCTCAGGAAGGTCTTTGGGCGGGCACTTTAGCAAAAATAAGCATTGCAGCAATTCTCCGAATAAAATACATAAAATGAGCTCCCAACATGGTTGGCTTTAAGACACCATTATAGCTCTTGGAGCTTCTGGCCTCCACTGTGAGGAATCTACAACCAGCACTGGCACTGCATTTGTGGCTGCCAAGGTACGTTTCCCCTTCAACCTCCTGGTGCATGTGTTGTAGGAATATTTACCCTTGCAATAAACAGGCATTATAGCTATCTAAAATAAATTATTCCCCCTGCCACCTCCTCCAAAGTCTGCATGAATCCAGTGGGAGATTAAATACCTTGGAATGGGGAAAGACACAAGGAACAAGTTGACTTAATACAATTCTACATGACATTCAAATTCCTGCCTCCAGCATTGGAGGGAAGTAGACACCTATCAAAGGATGCCCTTTCTTGCTCCTCTTGCCTAATCAATGCAGTCTACACCTCCAGTTCAGGAAAAATATGCATATTAAAAATATACACAAAATATACAGGTACACTGTTATGTTTGTATACTTTATTTTCAGTACTTAGTGTTTCCTTGTATTTATGCGATTAACTTCTACCTATCATTGTAATGGACCTCAAGACCGATCATGAGCAAAAATTTATGCACTGCTTTATAAAACACTTTAAAATCTTTCTATTATAACAATATCTTAATCTCCAGGATAGGTTAATTGCTCCTTATAATTTTAAGTCTACATATTTTAATAGCTGTTATGGAGTATTCAATGCGGCCTTTTTCTGTTAAAAAAGGGGGGGAGGGGGAGAAACTTCTGATTCTAGGGGTGTCCCTCTTAAGGATTTAAACTGTCCTCATTTTACTGGTCAGCTGCTTTGTGGGAAAGGGGGAGCAGACTAATGAATCAAGACGCTCCTAGATACTCACTAGAATTTTAGTTTTTGGAAATCTCTCTAAACCAGTCTTGGCTATTGTACATTCAATATCATGGATGTTATGTCCCTGCCTACCCAGCTTGGCACACTTAACTTTGATAGAATAAGGTCTAATAATTCAACAGCATAAGGCTAGTACATTAACTGTTTTACCAAATTTAGTACCCTGCCCCCGTTTTCTTTAAAACACACACCAGCCACATGTGAAACATAAATGGCAAATCCCACCTCTTGTTAAGGAGTCCATAGTTGGTATAGTGACTAAGGAAACAAGTCATGAAGGGCTTGTTGCTTTTAAGAACAGCAGATTTATGAGAAAGTGATATTAAACAGTGTGAATGCAAGTTTATTTTATTCAGGGAGTTTACAAAAAATAACAATTGATCTTCCATGCAAAACCCAAGAACCTTGTTAATACAATTAGATCTGCACAGTTAATCACGTAAAACCAGAAAGGATGCATAAAGATCGAAAAAACTCAACCATGCCTTCTTGCAAATTCATCGTTACATGATCATTGTTACATGACCTATATATGTTTTGTAGAGAAGCCTCGTATTGTAGCAAAATACTGTAATGAAAATGAAAGTTGAATGTTTGCTTATTGTGACAAGCAGCTACCAGACCTCTGCTGATTAGCTATGCTTTGCACTTCTGTAGCACCTTCCATCAGGGAAACTCAAAAACATTCTACAATGAAGATACCCTCACAACACCCCTGTGAGGTAGGGAAGTGTTCTCTTTACAACTTAAATAAAAACTGAGGCACCATGAAACTTCCACCCATTCCTATCCCATACAGACTGCTTTCAACCTTTTGGACCACTTTTCTTCATCTGTGTTTGTGATCTTGCCATTTGTGGGTATTAATAGTTTAATAGGCCTGAGTGAATGCATTATTTAGCAGCATGAAGTTTGTCGTATTTAATTTGCTTCATTAAAATGAAGCCATTTATGCCTCTTAAAAATGACTGCATCTGATTTTACAGTTTAAAGACATCCCTGTTCACACAATTATCCCACATAAAAGCAGATTTCTGAGAGAATCCCTGGTCCTGAAGTATTTCTTCATATTATGCCTTCCTGATTCATAACCATTCTATACTGCAGAGAAGGAAGTGGTAAGACTGGACTGTTGAACTTTAAATTAGATGTGAAATATTTTATTGTTTCTCCTGTAAGATACTGTCTTTGTGAAGCAAGCTATTCCACAGGGGCCAAGCTGCAGTAAGCCTCCCTGTTTCCTAGAGAGAGAGAGGGGATCATTCAAAAGTAACCTCTCCTGATAAACTTGCAGTGGTACCATCTAGAATTCTACTACCTCATTCTATGCATTGTGTGACAGCTGCATCCCCTGAACTCTCCCCATCAATATGGAACTTACAGAAGTACTTTTCTTCATTCCCCCCTTTTTGAGAGCTGTCTTTGGACAGAATGTTCAACAATGCAGTGTTACAGCTGCACAGCAGGCAAGGAAAAAAGTAACTATTTGGACATAGTTTCTTATACAGGTATCCACTAGTCCCGGCTGGAATTGTTTGCAGGCTTGGCACGTTTACTCCACTTGCTTCCTTGTGTGGGTTTCACTGAGTGCTTATTAACAGCCATTATATTTGCTTTGTACCTTTCAGCTACTGTAGTTGTTCACAATTAAGTCTGTTCAATACAGCGTATATACTTTTGCAGTAGAAACTTGTCACTACCTTTCCTGAAACTTTCTGAAAGCAACCAGTGCAGCTATTGCTGCAGCCAGCTAGTTAGGCACAATTCATCCAATGTAATGCCAATTTCCTTTGACTATTACTATGCAGAAAAAACTATGATCACATCATTTTCAGCAGTGATATGATATTGGGAATCTTTACAGCAGTCTAAGGCCTCAGTGCTAAACATTTCTATATACAGGTTCGATTCAGGTCAAATGAATACGAAGAAGATATTTATGTAGGCAGACTTGGCTCTGTGCAGAGCATGTAAGGTGGTCAACCGGGTTCAGGACTGATCTCAACAGACCTAGCAGTTAGTTACAGAGTGGACGTCAGATAAAATTCAAGTGCCAGGGATGGAGGAGCCTATGCAGGACAAGCCTACCATAAACCCTCTCTATTCCAGCATGACACCCAACATTGAACAAGAAAACTAGCAATGTGGCATTATACTGATCACCATAGTGTGTATGCTCTAGACACACATCTGCAGACAGCTTGTAGGTTCAATACAACAGTGTAGAGTTTATGCAGAAGCCCCTGAAAATGTGAAGGCCCAGCAGGCACTCCTACTGCTTTCATAGAATGAGCACTCTCTTCCTGAGAGCCCTTTACCACCAATTAAGAACAGACATCCTTCTTTTTGGAATAGAATCTCCACCACATTTCCTCAGGTTATCAGAATTACAGATTATACATAAATCTAGCTTGATTAATATAACTATTTTTAAAGACAGTTAAGTGAAATACAGATTGACCATACTTACCTAGAACAAAACTGACACTGCACTAATGTAATTTTTAATGCATTTCCAATTGCACAATTTTTAATGACTACTTACAAATTTTGACAGGGTTCTGTCAGCGGTTTATTAGCTTTAATGTTCACTCATGGAAGGATAGCTAACTTACAAATTTTGACAGGGTTCTGTCAGATCGTTTCTGCTGAAACACTGGCTTGAAAGATCTTACCTATGTTTTCTGCTGGTGGAAGGCACTGTCAGTTAAAACAGGAAAGGTAATTTTTAGCAAATTCACCCACCAGCTGCAGCTACCCCACCACCTCTCCAAAGGTCCACAGAGCCTTGGGAGCATAGCAAGCTGCAGTGCAAATGGGAGATCAAATAGTTCACTTTTTCAAGTGATGCTCCGCTGGCATTAAACAAGATCCAACAGTTAAACATTCTCTTTTGCCATCAGACAAAACTTAAATGCATTTAGTGAAACTAATGCAGCCAGATGTCCAGAATGAAGCATCACTCCTTTGTATTCCAGATGAACTTTTCTTTACAGGCCCGTTTTAGTAAAACAATTATACATCAGAATTTGTTATGGGGAAATTATTTATTGACCCCCTTAAGTACAAACAAGTCTGCCAAGCCAGTAGGACAATACTGACTCTTACATGAACCATTAAGTTTTAACTGCTTTAGAATTCTGTGGTGTAAAAGGCATTATATGCTGTACGAAGGATCTGGAGTTGTACTTTGTTTTCTGAAGTTATTTGGTGATTTAAACAGACAAAAGAATTGTTTCAATGTCTATGCTAATTGTTTCAATGTCTATGCTCTTTTCAGTGTAAAAAAATCTTACATTTGAAAAAGCCCCAAAATCTAAGGTTACAAGAAATTTAATATGGACCAACAAGCAAGCTGTCTGCTTAAGTACCAATAACTGACTGCCAACCTCAACAGTGCTGCTTCCTTACCAAGAAAAGGAAATCACTTTAATCTGTGGTGTTTGCTAGTGGCAATATATGCAGGGTGAGGTAGACACTGATCAGATTTACCAAGCTAGTCAAAGGAATGGACACCCATCATGATCAATAGTGCACAGCTGATGATTTACAGTCCAAGTCTAAGCACATGTACTCAGGAGATCAGAGGAATTTGGGAGTAAGTAACCTGCATAGGATTACAGCTTCAAGTTTCAACTTCATGATCATACATCAGTTTTATCATGATTAATGATGCATAGCATCATAACTACGTGTAAAGATTCATTAGACTCCAGAATTCATGTACATTTCCATTTATTATATTTATTAATGTTACAATGTTTTTTTTTGCTCTGCCAACCATGCCCGAGAACTCAAGTGAAGATACAAAGGACAGCTTCATCTACCCTATCATAGTATATTAAAACTTGATTTCTGTGTAATAACAACCTCATAAAATGTCAAAGCTGGAATTTAAAATTTTATGTTTCCACTATGCCATTAAGTGACATACAAATCCACATAATCTTAGTTCTTCAGCTTTAATATCCTGCTAATGTTTTGTTGGCAAATACATTTCAGGAAATATATTCAGTTCAATGGTGTCAGCTGTAGGTTTACGTTCAGTGATCTGAGCACCCAGAAGCCTGGCTTTGTTACCTTTATATCTATATAAAAATGTAACTGTTTAGTAGCCATTTGGGTTATGGAGAGCAATTCCTTACAGGGATAAGGCCAATGCCATTCTAAGCACCGAGATAGGGAAAACAGTTGGTTCTTCTATAAACCAATGATTTGACATCATTGCCAATAATCAGTTCTTAAGAGACAATATCGGTATCAGTCACACCAAATTTTGGATGCGAGAAAAAATTAAATAGGATTACTTTCCTTTATGCAGGAACATCTTTAGGCGCTGAATAGTTTTAACCACTGTCAATATCACACAGTACAATATAGCACGAATCTTAGCACAAAGTACTATTATACTAGCTTCTCTCCAAATAAATGGACATAGCTGGTCAGAAGACTGACCTATAACTGAAGTCATCACTAAATCTTTGGGCAGCAGAGGAAAAGATGCTGTAATGCAACATCTTATTCCCAAAATATTTCCAAATTTCCACCAGTAAGCCACGACGAAGGACATTTTCCACTTGACATGTAGCTACTTCCATTATGCAAACACAATAGTGTGCGATCAACAGCTGTTAGTTGCCATAATACAACGTCATGGCGTATGTTTTTTTTTCCCAATAAGCTCCAAGATGCTAAAGGAGCACAGACATTTCTGGCCACTGAATGCAAACCTACAGAAATCCTCATCCCTTGAACCCCAGAGAAGGGGGGAAAAATTAAGTATGGATAGTCTGCATATTCCATGCTGCTACTTGACTATACTGCAATTTCTCAAGCCAGAAAAGGCATATTTTTAAAATGAATAAGAGTTTACATAGTTGAAAAAGTTAATATATGCAGACTAGTCTCCCTACATTTTCTATCTGGTTGTGTATTTTCTGATAACTTTAAGCAAATTAAGGTAAACAAACTACAGCTCAACAGTACACTGCATATTTCTGAAAGTGGTATATACTAGAGATTTCTAGTCAGTTATGGCTACATACGAGAGGATGTCATAAGTGGGGGCACAGGACAAGTTGCTCATTTAAGGTCACTTCAATTTGTTATTTATAATAAATCAGAACCCAGATGGCTGACTTCTGCAGGATTTCTGAGAGGAATCCAGTAGAGCTGGTTTCGAGTTTCAGATGGCCACTAAAGAGTTGTAACCTTTTCCAGAAGTTGTGATCCACATGGTGTCCACAATGAGTGCAGCAAGTCTGAGGTAGTCAACCCTTACGAAGGCTCAGTATCTGAACATAAAAAGATTTGAAATAACCACTGGCTGCCGATAGTTTTGCAGAGTAATCAAAATACTGGGGACTCTTGTTCGACCACTTACATTAATCTCTCTTACATCCAAGGAAGAAATCGGGTGTACCATATTAAGCATACTTCCACAGTGCAGAAGAGCCAATCACTTACGTCAAAGTAGTCTGCACTTGTTGCAGTAGATCCAGTAGAAATGAGACGGCATGTTCATAATAGCTGTAGTTTAGTTACCTTAGACTGGAAAGGTATCAAATACCATTCCTTAATTGTAATGTGTGTGCAGCTTTACTGATCCCCAAGCACAGCATATTGGTTGTCTAGCTGAAGTTTAGTTGCCTGGGGTTTTGAAACCTCATCCCTACCTCTATTTTTGTGTTTTACTACTTCAAAGCTCTTCTCCATTTCTTTATCCCTAAGGGAAAATAAATGTAATCAGTAAGGGTCTTAAATGCACTTGCCCCTCAGAAATATTAATTCAATGACACTAAGCTTTAGTTGCAAAGCTCCATGGCTAGGGCCACTGACACGATGGAGCTGTGGCCTACAATCCAGGGAACTCAGAAGCATGGCTAGGGTCCTGGGCATGACTACTGGAATTACTACAACAGACTACAATCCCATTATACAAACTGCTTTTGAAACGCAATGGCAGAGCTGGCGATTTGCTGTCTTTAAAAAGAAGAATTCCAGCTGGGATACTGGCATAGTTCTCTGGATTATGGATATTACAGACTCCACCGTAGAGCAATATACAACTTTAAACAGTTCTGAATATTTATGTCCAATTCAGTACTACATCAATAGTTGACTGAAAGTACAGACTTCCTTCCAGAGAACTACAAGACCAAGAGAGGTTTGAAGATTTGTTAACAGCTATACCCCAAATGCCACATGGCATACTGAGATAAGTCTCTTAAGCTGCTTGTGACATGGTATGAAAGTCTGTGGTTCAAACTCAAGAATTCTATCAAGTACACTCAAGATCTGGATGTACATACAGTACTGTACTAAACTCATTCCCAGAGGTAAGACCAGATTCCTTGAGAACATTTGACTCCAGACAGATAAAAATAGAACCTTAAACCAAGGTTTAAGTCCTAGTTTAACAAACCAAGCCACCTAAGGGAGGCACAAATTAAAGCAAAGCCTTATTTCTTCTGTCAAGCTATTAAAGTTTTAAAATCTCACAAATGGCCAATAAATTTAAGATCCACAGAGGACTGTCATTTGACACCTGGAACAAACACAGATCATCCCATCCCTCTAATCCATCTCTGAATATCATTGTTTGAGAAAATCTCCTGTCTGGACATGCATGAATACAATCTACATGTATATTTACATATTCAAAGTCTGTTTGCTTCTCTGAGTGTCTATCATGTCACATACTGATTTCTCTACGGTTTCTGTGGACGGGATTAGAAAGCTCTGAAGGATTAGGAAAAAAAAGCAATGTTAAAAGGCAATTGTGCAGAGTGCTATTACCATACTTACTTTCTGGAATCTACATGCTTGGCAGTGGACTGCAACGATGGAAATTGTGTATCGCTATAGATTTCTGGGGGTCCTTGTGGTGTTTTCCGTGTCCTGGTTTCTCTAGCACCAGGAGGCCTATATACCCCACTGGATTGGACAGGCTCTGGGCTTTCTGTAAGTTAGAAGATTTACAAATAACCAACATAAATGAATGCATATACCAGTTTGGAACACAGTGGCATAACTTAATTTTCAGAGCACTGTACGCTGTCCAGCATTCTGAAGATACCTGGTCTCCATTGACCGTAACAGTCACCTGCTTCTTTGTTCTAATAGGCACCCTATTATCAAAACTATTTCACACAAAGGCTACAAAACATCATAACAATGGAACAGCTCCTTAGTACCCAGTGTTCAAATTCTTTAGTTCAGCATGCAACTGAAACTTTTTTCTGTTTCTGCACTGTTCCTCCAATAAATAATTAACATGTTTCACATACAGAATAGTTAAAGGAAGGCCTTGCTCATCATTCTTGAGCAAAGGCAAGTATCATCATCTGCTGCCAGGCAATTATAACAAATGTGATCTAACCAGAGAGAAAGTAGTACTCTTGTTATCCCCTTCTTGCTTTAATCAGGTCCTGACTGTCAGGAAAAAGGTGATTATATAAATTGCCTAAATAAAAATGTAATAAAATTTTCCATAAAGTTCCAAGTTACATGCCCACAATATTCACATGTTAAGACATAATTTTTATAACTGACAGAGCTCATTCCTAAACTAAGCTACCTGGCACCTAGCAAAATGGCGTCCCAGTTCTAATATGAATTTAAAAACCACTGCATCTATTGACAGTTAGCTGTCCTGCAGTTACCATGAGACAGACTGACATCTTAAATGTTTATCAGCATAGTTGTTTCATTTTAAGAACTGATACGGGACCATCCATTACATTATTCTTGAAGTTAGAAAGAAGCTAACTATTTTGATCATCAGCAGTGTAGTAATGGAAGGTCATGTTTTATAGTCAGTTAAAACTAATATAGGCAAAAAAACCTTACCAACTATTTCAACAACAGGGTTTTGTGTAGCAGCAGACTTATTCCATGGGCCGGACGATTTATCCACACCACCACCAGGTTCTTCATTGTAATCCCTTGGTTCTTCTCTCTTTTCACCTTCATCATCGTCTTTTTCACTGAGGAAAAAAGCAAAAAGTATTGTCCATGTCTACTACTTACATACTATGAACATATACAACACACTATCCATTTCACATTTTCTGATGTTAAGCCCATAAAGCATCAGTAATGCTTATACCATGTTGCCATCTAAAATAAAACAAAGATTTCTAAACATTTTGCTATGCTCTCCATATAAGCACTGTGATAGCTTGCAAATATAAAGGGATGGCAAGTGCAGCCAACACAAAAACGAAGAGCTAGCAGCCACTGCAGATAAGCATTACATGACTACAGGCCAATAGTCAGTGAAGTATAGAGTACAATGACTTAAGGCAGCATGACTTATACAACTTAAGGGGAAGGACAAGCTAAGAATCCCAATACATTTGCTGCTCATGTGTTTTAACAGTGATAATTAAAAATAAGATTAAATGGAGTGGATGCAGGGCTCTGATAACCTCACTGGCACCTTTTAAGTCAAAACATCGATAAATGACACATTATGTAAGATTTTGTTACAGTACTACATGGTTAAGATTTGCACACAGCAGGGATTGCTTTGAAGAAATACAAGCTATCATGTGGTAAATAATTTTAAGGATGACTTGATCAGTGGCATTTCTTCAACTATTAAAGTGAAGCCAGTCTCACTGAGCTAAATTATGACTTTTACAAAGAATCTGCTTCACTCAGGTAAACACAGAATGTTGATTCATTAAGAGTTCTTTTATTCTGAAGACAGCAGTACCTTATTTGCATGGACTGAACTCTGAGACCACTATAGTCAATTTCTTCCTGCTCAAACTCCTTCCAGTCATCCTCTTCCTGAAAAAAGCAAGTATTATACCAACTCATTATCAGGCACTTCACATTGAAACTTATGAAACAAGCATGAAAGAACAAAAAGCCCCCCCACACACACCTGTGGCAGAAAATACCATTCTGAAATCAAAACTGATATCATAGGAAGGCACAGAATGACAACATCGCTATTTTTGAATTACTTATTCAAATATGAACTTCTGAAGCATTTGATAGATGTAACCTGGTCAGGCATAAGAGGCTCAACATTTTAGTACTGTTTGTATCTTTTGCTTATGTTACATAACACATGCATTTTTTTTCGTTTGTCCTTGACAGAGCAGACCATGAAACACACTTTTAGTGTAATGCTTCACAATATTTTTTGTAAAATATGTATTTCCCAAAATCCCCTTATGACAAGCATGAAGGCAATATGTAATTTGTTTCTGCATTTCACTTTTTGCCATTTTTTCCTGTTATGCCCTTTATTCCTCAGTTGATGGACAATAGCTTAAACCAAAAGACCCCTGCAGTTCAGAGTACATGATCTATAAAAATGCACATTTAAATCTCTCTGCCCCCACAACCCTCCTGAACCTCACCAGAATTTTATTTATTTATTTATTTTGCGCTTTTTATCCCGCCCTATCCAGTAGCTTATCTGTCTTTTTTATTCCACTCTTACCTAAAAGAGTTCAGGGGCAACTTACATTTTCCTGCCTTCTATTTTATCCAGACAATCACTCTGTAAAGTAGGTTAGGCCAAGACAGGGAGTGACTGGCTTGAAGTTACTCACCAAGTTTCATGGCTGAGTCAAGAATTTGAAGTCAGGCATTAGCAGTCCTAGTCCAGCACTAGTCACTATACCATACTGGCTTCCTGACTTTCTATAGCCAGTTACATATGGGATTAAAGTGGGAGGAAAGTCAGCAAATTGAAATCTAAAGTGTCTTCTGCTTCAGAAACATACATGCACAAAAACTCCATCCTTATCTTTATTCTGTAAGGAAGACACTTCAGTTTGGAAACCACCATCTGTGGCACACACTAACCCTGTATTTCCCAGCATGATTTAAGCAGCTAAGCAAAAAACAAACAAAACAACCCCCCCACCATGCTATAACAAAAAGCACTTGTTAATAGAGTTCTTCTCTGGGTATCCCAAATTTTCTTTTCAAAGAAAAACACACAGATAAAAGAGTTACCCAGAATGGTAACTCACATTCCAGGGAAAACAAATTTTAGACAGGCAGGTCATAAAACTCCCCAATCATTTTACTTCATTATCTCCCTACTGATTGGTCCAAACTCTGCAATTTACCATGTAACTCTATGCAAAGTTACTCTAGTTCAAGCCCATTTCAATAAGAAACGGAGTACATAGGAGTGCTAAAGACATCAGATTAGGAAGTCAAAGTGCAAATATAGCACATTTTATTCGACAAAAAAATTCTTGAACAAGAATGCTTTCAACTTTTGCTCATGTTTTAGTAGAATACCATGGAAAGCCATTAATAACGAAAGAATTTAAATAGCAAGAAACTCAAGCTTTTCTACTATAATATGTGGTCTCATAAGCCTGGCATCAAAACATACTAGTTAAATAGTTGTTCTGCCTTGCCTTAGCAATGATATGCACAAGCAAGTGCTTGTATAGCAACTGTTTTAATCCATTTACTCTTCAAAACCACCTGTACGCATTCAGCTGCTCAACACACAGGCACTGTCTTTCCAGGCAAGTGAAAAAATTACATGATAAACCTCTGTACATGAATGGCTCAGTTTGGAGCCACTGGGAACAACGTGAAGTAGTCTTCAATGGTTCACACACACCAGGGTCGTCTAACAAAAGTAAATGCTTTCTTTAAGCTCATGAACTTAAAGCCCCAATTTTTAAAAATCAAAACCTTGAAATTTAACCTCCAACACTGCTGTCCCTCATATAATAAGCGACATCTGCTTAATATGCATTAGGTGGAAAATTCTCCAGGACTCAGCCCTAGTTTTACATTTTCTAGAACTCCGCTTTGGAAGCCATTTTTCACTGAGAAGACGCTGGACTGCCATGTTGCTGTCGGTGGCACAATTTCTTCATCTTTTTAAATCAAGCAGAAAACGCCCTTTCCTTCCAATGTTGAAATAACGGTAATGAGCGACTACAGCCTGAGAAAAACTGCAGCCTAGCCTGCTACTGCCACGCCTGCCCTCCTCAAAGTATTAAGTTTGGATAAACTCCCTGGCGCGTGGACCCAGGGGAAAGCCAGTGGAACTACAGCGGCAGAGCCAGGGGTGGCGGAACTGGGCACGAGGCGTGGAAGTGGGGCGCCCTCGCCCGACCAACCTTCTGCCTCCTTTGTCGCGGGAGCCCCCGCCACCCACCTGCCCCCGAGGGGAAAGGGGCGCCCCCGCCAAGGACCAAGGAGGGGCAGCGGGTGCGAGTTCCCCGCGCCCCAGAGCCAGGCCAGAGGGGCCGCCTGACCCCGCGGCTGCGCCCTCTGCCGGCAGGAAGCTGCCAACGCCCACAGGAAGCAGTCCGCCCCAGAGCCACCTTCGGTTTGCCGGCTTCCCCCCACCCCTCCGCCTGCGGCGCTGGACGAGGCTGCCGAAGAAGCCGTCGCGGCGGCGCCTCCCCGGCTGCTTTTCTCTTTCCGCTTCTTTTTGTCTCGCTTGGCGAAGAAGTCGTCCAAGCTCCTCTCCTCCGTCTCGGCCATGGCGGCGGCGGCGGCGGCGACTCCTTCGCCTCGCGCTCCGGTTCAAACCGGTTGCGGCCGACGGACTGGACGCGTCGTCCTCGCGCCGGGCGGTTGGGCTGCTCCAACGCCCCGGCGGCGGCCCCCCTCGCAGGTGAGACCCCGGCACCACCCAGAGCAGCCTCACGTGCGCCTTCTCGCCGCTCGGTCCGTCAGCCGCTCCTCCTCCTCCTCCGGGTGGCCGGCAGGTGGTACAGCCCACAACCGTCGCCGCCCCCGCGCGCTGACTTTTTCCTCCTCCCTCCTTCACGCGGCGGCGGCGGCGCCCGTTCGAAGGCGGACAGGCGGCTTCCGCTTTCCACGCTGGTGGCCACCACTTGACACAGCCCAAGGAAAAGGGGGGGCAGGCGGTGGGGGGGGGAGAGAGAGAAGGGCGGAGCCGAGCGGTCGGCCAACGTAGGCCTCCAAGAGACACCTTATTGGGCACGAGAGCGGGAGGAAGGGAGAGCGCGTGCGCCCCGCCGCCTGCCCACCAACCCCAACGAAAGGAAGGCTTCTCCCGGCCAATAGGAACGGACGGCGAACGTCAGGCTCGGTGCGTGTCGTCAGGGGAGGACGCAGGAGCCGAAAGTAGTGATTGGTCCGTTAGGGGCGAAGGGCGGGGTGTGCTGTGAGAGCACAAGGCCTCAAGCTCGTTGGCCTGGGAGGATGAGGCGCGCTTGCGCGTAAGTAACAAGTCACTCGTGGTGCTCGGAGGGAATGAATTGGCTAGTGCGGGGCGGAGAAAAGCCTCAGAGCTGTCCAGTCTAATCGAAAGTTTCCTTCGCGTAGCTCCTTGCTGCTTTTTGTATGAGGAGTCGGGAGTCTTCTTCCTTCTAAACATACTGCGTTTGTATCCTACTTTTAGGTGCCAGACCAAAACATTTTCGTTTTAACCAGCCTTTTAAGTGGTTTTTTTGTCTGTTAGTTTTTTCAGCTGCTTTATGGTCTCCTATACTGGCCTGAGGTCAGTTTATGGATAGTAATGGTGTTTATACGATCTCTTGTTTGTACTCATATTAATCACTTATTTTAATTATAAACTGTTTTAGGATTTTGAAGGTATGACATAAACATTTCCTAAATAAATAAATAGCAATTCTCAATTGTGATAGGAATCTGGCCTTTTCACCTGCCCTTTTCTATATGCTTTTCAGCATTTGGATGTTAGGCAGGAATTCAGAATTCCTCTGTCCCTGGTAAGAAAAGGCTGCATCGATTTTGCCTGCCATGTTGCTTCCTGAGGTTTAGTGATTGGAATGTTAATTCTCATTCTGCCCTGAAGCTCTCTGGGTGACCTTGCGCAGCCTAGCCTACCTCTCAGAGTATAAAATGCATAACGATGAAGAACTGTCTATGCTGCCCATGAGCTCCTAAGAAGTATGGGATAGAAGATGGGATACATAAGGCTGTGGTTACACACCCGCAATAATCTACTTTCAGTCCACTTTCCAACTGGATTTTTACTGTGTGAACTGGCAAAATCCAATTTGAAAGTGGATTATTTAGTGTGTGTGACTGCAGCCATAAGAGTCTTTGTATCTTGTATCCCAGTGCTTTCTGTAGTACTGGATTTCTTAGTAGTAGCAAAAGTAAGCAATTTGTCCCTGCCTTTCTCATAGAGCTGAGGATGTCATTATTAAAAAAGCTGGGACAATTGTAGAAATCAAGCCAAGTTTTACAGTTTCTGCATCATAATAAAATATTTTCATTTTAATTATAATCTCTTTTCTGAGGATTCGGGATCAAGCTATGTTTACTTCTCAGAACTCTTCAGCCAATTTAAAGAAAAAAATCCTGGAACAAAATACATGTAGAGATATTGAAGAAGAGATTGGATTTATTACCCCACCCTTCACTACCCAAAGGTGTCTCAGAGCGGCTTACAAACTCCTTTCCCTTCCCCTCCCCACAACAGACACCCTGTGAGGTGGGTGGGGCTGAGCGAACTCTGACAGAAACTGCTCTTTTTCAAGAACAGCTCTTATCAGAATTATGGCTTGCCCAAGGTCATCCAGCCAGGGGCAAGCGGAGGAGTGGGGAATCAAACCTGGGTCTCCCAGATTAGAGTCCGCACACTTAACCACTACACCAAACTGATATTGCCAGTAATCGTGGTTTTGCAAGTAATATGTATACATAAAGCTATCTTCTACTGTGCTTGATTGAGAAGCACTGGCATATCAGGGTCAATATTGTCTACTCTGATTGGCAGTAATTCTCCAGAGTCTCAGGCAGAGGTCTTTTTCATTGCCTATTTCCTGATTCTTTTTACTAAAGAAAACAGGGATTGAACCTGGGACCTTCTGCAAGCAGAGCACTAAGACACCATTCCACTCTGCATAAATACCAAAGCATGAAGGAGTGAAGGATTCAGTAACTGCACCCAAAATTCAGCATAACTCAGATTTCTTCAGTTTCAGTTCATTTTGGTGCACATTCATTGTCTCGGGTACATCGTCCACATCAGACTTTCTGCTTGAAATGGCAAACAGTTGTGCCAACTTGGAATAAATGTGCTATGTAAAGTAGTAGATTGGAGAGCCAACTGTGAGTATATGCTACTGCAGGTGCCACATTTGTCCATGTTAATGCTCTTCCCCTTTCTTTGTGTTATCAACAGAGAAACAGGAGATAAAAAATAAGGCCAAGGCCAATGGTACAAAATCAGGTAAATTTATATTTTATCACTCAGTTAAAATTTCATATGCATTTTGCCAACACGCTTCATCAGGGGAATCTGTTCATCTTGTACTAGTTCAGGGGTGGCCAAACTGTAGTTCGGGAGCTGCATGGGGCTCTTTCACACAGTCTAATGTTAATAAAAGCAAATTTGCATATTTTCCAATAAAAACGTGTGTGTAATATTTATTCATGTCTTGCGGCTCTCAAACATTTGATGTTTATTCTGTGTGGCTGTTACATTAAGTTTCATTAAGTAAGTTTGGCCACCCCTGTACTAGTTCTTCAAAAAAAGAACTTTTACAAGACAAAGCATGTTGGCGAAATGCATAGGGAATTTTAACTGAGTAATAAAATATAATTTTAGCTGATTTTGCACCATCGACCTTGACCTTATTTCTTAT